ATATAATAATTGCCAAGTTTCATGATGATACAAGGTTTCTTTTTTTTTTTTTTTTTAAGGACGTGAACTTTTCACAAGTACTTGCCTTCTTATAAGAAAGAGGAGGGTTGGCCCGGCCCAAACCAACTCTTCCATCAAAACACTTGATAATCCAGGTAATGAAGATCGTTAGAATTATTAGTTTAAACGAATATTCGCTCATTCATAACCCCTTAACAATTCAGTTAAAATTTTATAATGAAGCGCCCCACGCTTTATCTATATTTATATAATTATGTTAAAATAAACTATAATAACTAGTTCGATTTTTTCGTTCCGTTTTTTCCTTTTGATCTACGGAACCCTAAAAACAAAAGCAGATAAAAATTACAGATGACTTACATTAAAAAACTGAAAAGTATAATACTTATATGTACATACATTATATGTATCGTACGAACTACTTACATATTACGTGCAATTTTCATTTTGATTAAGGAATATGTAATATAAATGTTTCTCTATTAAAATACATAGGTAAGTAAGTATACATAATTATTAACATTAAACGGATTCCACTGCAGATATAACAAATAGACGTAAGACAGTTAAAATAAGTAAGTAGGTATTTAGGCAATAGACCATTTAGTGACCATATAAGGTCAAAAATTCTGCATTCCGCTCGCTGTATTTTAAGTTATATATTCTCTTAAACAAAAATAAACTTTATTTCATAGGCAACAAAGTTTCTTAAATGTACTTGCGATCGCACGCTCCATCTAAAGAATAACAAATTAAATTATGAGTAAACAATTTTCCCAAGTTGTAGGTACCCAGTACCCAGTATTTCTTTAATAGTATATTCAGACTTAAGCAACTTTCGCAGTGGTCAGTCATTGGATGGGTGACCAAAGAAGGTACCCACCCAGTAATTCTTAACATCTAGTTATACTATTTTCAGACTTACCAAATAGACTGTATGGCAGGCTGTGTGTTTCTGTGCTGCTAGAGCTGTCTGCTGCTGGCGACAGCAAAGCTCTCTCGGGGAAGCTGAAATTTATAATATTATGTTCATTCATTCACTGAGAATAAACATTACACTGCAATACTGTTTACCGCAATCAATAAATGCGTTTTAAATCTTCTATCAAACGACAGAAGATTCCCAATTTCAAATCTTTAAAAATCATGACATTACCTTTTTAATATACTAACTGCCAGCCGTAGGCATTGCATGAACAAAGAGTTCAGTTCACCCAAACAGGGAGGCTGTAACGCAACGGACGCTACAGTAGGTACTTTTTACTTACTTACCTACATTGTCATGAGGATGAAATAAAATTACGTAGGTGTATATAGGTATACACACTTTGAACAGTAATACATATTATAAAAGAACCTAAAATATGTTTCATTAAGTTACGATTACACTCCACTTTTCGATTA